AAGTCCTCGCCGCCGCCCGCCGCCGCCGCGCCGGTGGCCCCCGCGGCCCCGCAGCTGCAGCACCCCGCCTTCCTCCCCAGCCACGGACTCTACACCTGCCAGATCGGCAAGTTCCACAACTGGACAAACGGGGCTTTCCTCACGCAGAGCTCCCTCTTGAACGTGCGCTCCCTCTTGGGGGTAAACCACCACCACGCGGCCCATCACAACCACCATCTCCAGGCCCAGCAGCAGCAGCAGCCGGCCGTGCTGGCGGCCACCCTGGGGGCCCTGAGCGGCGACAAGGCTTCAGAGCGGACCAGCCCCAAGCACATAGGTAAGGGCTGCGCAGCCCCTTAGATCTCGGCCCCGGGGCTGCTGGACGGGCCCCCGGCTCAGAAACGGCCCTGCTTTGGGTTGCAGAGCCGGCTGCAGGGCGAGGGTGGGGCTGGGGGAAAACCCCCACATCCTTACTTCAGGCATCAGATGTGGATTCAGGCACCTCTGCTCAGCGCGGGGAGGTGGGGGGTGTGGCAGGAGGGGAGGGAGTGCATGCGTGTCTCTATGCTTGGGTATCTTCTTCTAAGATGTCTCTTCCTTGTGATTTTCCCCCCCTACCCTCCAGAAAGAGAAAATGTACCAAGAACTGATTCCCCACCTCCGCAGTTAAAATCGCCTTTCCAGCCTGTCCGTGACAAGTGAGTGGTTGTTTTTGTTTTCATTCCACTTTAGGAACATTACTTATGCGGAACAGAGTGTTTGAATAAAGACAAATTATAACACCTCATCATCACCATAATCATCCATATTAAAAAAACAAAACAAAAAAAAAGGAGAGCAATAATGAAGCATTTCCTGCTGTGATCCTTTCAGAGTTAGAATAAATTACAGCTGCCCATTGCCAGGCCGTAAGTTTCTGAAACTTAACAAACCTCAAATATCCTATGGCATTTATGCTCTGGATTGAACACTGCTCGAGTTAGTTTACCCCAGGATCTTTTACAGCAGCGGGCAGGCGGTACTTCCACCAAGTCGTCTACTCATAGATTATTACATCTTTTTCTTCCTGCAGCTCTTTGGCTCAGCAAGAGGGAACACCGCGAATTTTAACAGCTCTCCCTTCTGCTTGATTTAAATGGTTCCGTGAAAAAAAAAAAAATTGCAGAGACTGGTATAAAGGACAAAAAAAAAAAAAAAAAAAA